TGTGAAAGCCGAGACTCATTTCTCCCTGGGTGGGGGATCAAAAACGGGCAAACAGCAACAACAAGCGCTCCGGTTCTGGCCCGGGCATGGCGGACGCAGCATCAGAAACCAACTCCGTTTTCCGTCCTGAGAAACTCGCTCCACTTCATCAAGCACTCCCCATTCCAGCCTGTCAGCGAGCGGAGCGAGCAGGGAGCAGTTTGTGGTCCCACCTAAAGGCTCGAACGTGCAGCGTAAATACTCAGGCTTTACGGTGCCCCTGATAATAATGTGGTTACGACTATCAGGGGAAATCCTGGTGAGTCCTGCTTTGGCTGAAGGTGTTAAAAGGCTGTAAGTGTCGAGACGAAAAGCTTGTCTGCACTTTGTTTCAACCACTTTCAAGAGCACACTTGGAAATATATGAGGATCAGCTATTTTTATGCATGAATGTTTTAAATCCAGATACAAACAGTGACCTAAAAGTACCTTGTCTTAAACTTATTCTATAAAAGTCGACTTGAGATTTTTGTTTCCCCATGTGGCTGAGAAAGCAACACTATTTCAAGTGTAGAGTCCTCATATCCAATTTCTCTCTTTTTCACACTTGATTCGAACTCAAAATCCTCCTCATGTTTCCCTGTTGAGTGGGTAAATTTAGGATACTGCCCACATCCACAGCTCTAATTCCCACCGGTGCAGCAAGTGTTGCGTCAGGATCTCCACTTCACCCTAAACCTTTTTAAACCGCCATCAAAGAAGTGAGTTTTCACTTGAGAAGTCTCACAGCTCTCCCAGAGGGCTTTGAATGTGCGAACGACATGGAGGTGTTGAGTTTTGTTGACAGTTTGAGTCAGAGACACGGCAAAGCCGAGCTAAACATAGTGTTTCTGTTGACATCCAGTGATGATTATAGCACAACTCTGCTGAGCTGATAGACAGCAAAAGTTCACCTTAATTCAGACTGTTTTATATACATCTGTCTATTCCTGACAAAAGTCTCTCTTGTGGATTTTATTAGGGTCCAAATGCTTTTCTTTGTAACCTTAAAACTCCTCAGGTCACCTCTGAGGGAAAAGACATTTTGCTTTGCCATAGTTTTTACACCTGACAGTCCAATCGACTCAGTTGGGGACCAAAGTTGCAACATTTGTTACATTTTCAGCTGCTGCAGTTTGCTTTCACACCTCACCATGTCAAACAAACCAAACACTTTGAAAAACCTGTTCCCCTCCTCGCCTGTGGGGGCGCTGCACCAAGAACCACTGAAGGAAATGACAAAAATAAACAAACTCTGAAGACACTGAGCGCAAAATGTAAACAAAATGTAGGATTTTTCTTTCATCTTTGGTAAAACACCATGAGACTGTTTCTACTGCAGATTATTTCACTTATAACTAACTAGATATTTTTTGCATGTTTTTAGTGCATCAATAACGAGAGAATATATTAGAGATTTATTTATTAGTGTCTTCAAAATCAGAATGATTGATGATGTCATGACTTTGGAAGCTTCTGATAGGCTAACTGATGGATTGGAGTTAATACACCTGTGGATATATTTTAAGGTACATCCAGGTTTTTTATTCCTCATCTCAGTGTGTTTCTTCTCTAAAGTATTCACCTTTTACTCTCTAACCTAAAAATCATTCAACATCTCATTTTTTGCCAGCATCCTGCAGGATTTTTAAGCTCCTATTAATGCAGCATAAATTGTCAACTTTGTGATAGTTGAGGCCAGAATGCAGCTGCTTCCTCTCGAAGCTTCACAGTTGATTAAAAGTGGAAGAGCTAATTTCAAAGATGGCCTGATCTCCTTCTGACGATCATTCAAACCGATCATAATCATGAAGATATTAGCCTGTTGAGCTCTTCAATTAATACTCGCACAAAGTGTAGATAAAATTTACATGATGCAAGTTTCATGAAATCTCAAGAACTTGCAACAATTAAAGATCTAAACAGCCCTGATGATGTTAGGAGTGATGGTGAAAGCCATCATGCTGGTTTGAGCTGAAAGTAGCCGCAGCGTCCTCTAGATGTACTTGCAGAGACAAGGACAAATTAAACATTTACCTTAATGGAGGAGGAATAAAAGCAGAATGATCTGTGGCTGCAGTGAAAGAGGCATCCAACTTGATCTGACACAGTCCTTAAAAGAAAGCAGCTATAAAAAGATGATTATGAGGTGATGAGCGAGAAGCGGCTGGGAATAAAAGTTGAAAAAAAAGTGCTGCTTGGTCATTAGCTCTCTTCCTGAGAGCTTGTCACGCAGCATAAAATCATCTGAGGGAAGCAGTAGTTACAGGACATGGCGACGGTATCCATTCAGGAAATCTCCCACAGATAAATAATGAAACAAGATGAATTATTAAATAATGTGTCCTCTCTTTGGGGCTGTTTTAGGTCGGCGCCTTGGCATGATGAAACAAGACGCTGCTGAGAGGTCAGATCGCTGTGTCATCTGATTCTCGCCTCATTCAGGTTTTATTTTTATATTCCTGAGCCTCCATCATCTGCTACAAACTGGTCTCATCTTCACAAATGTCCTTCTTAGTGGGATCCTTGAAGGTTAGTGAATCATGTCTTCATTATGCACCAAATGGCACCAAACACTAAATTACAGCACAATAATGTCTTGAAAGAACATTTTTATCAATTTAAATGTTGGTTTTTATTCCCCAAAGTCACTTTAAGCTAGTGAGGGTCTGTCTTAAATATAACGGTCATCAACAAATAACCGTAAACTTTCTGCGCTGCAGTAATATTAAAGAATCAGTGTGACCTTTTCTCCTTCGCCAGATTGCCTTTCTTTCCTTGTAAAACTTTCCTGGATCCTCCTTCAGGTCTTTTTTACTTCCTCGACTCCCCTTTGAACATTCATGTGACTTACATACATTATTTTCCTGTTCAAGACGCATTTTTTGACTAATGCATTAAATGTTAATCCAAACCAACGTGACAAAAATGTCTTGTTATAAGTGAAATAATCTGCCAATGAACAAGTACATTTTCATCAAAATGAAGGAATTATTTACCTAAAACGAGCTCTGAAAAGTTTCCTCTTGTCTTAATTGAAGCGTGCTAAGATAGTTTAACTAGAATTAAACCAAAATCACTTGGAAAGATTTTGTGGTCTTGCAGTATGTATAGTCTGGAAAATACCAGTTGTTTTTGGTTCTTACTGGTTCCTGTGTGGATTTTTGTGGCTTCCAGCCTGCACTGGTCACCTGGTCAAAGCGTGAAGGGAGGTGACTGTGCACCATGACTGGTCAGAGCAACACATTTTCAAGAACAGACTTCCACATTAGATTGGATCTTTTATTATTCCTTACAGTTCATATGGTGACCAGGGTTGTGAAAACCTCCCAATCTGGACTGGAGCTGTAATTTTCCTACCTCTCAGTTTACGTCAGCTGATTGTGAGGCATAATGAAAAAGTGCAGATCTGAGAACGAATGGGATTTGATTCCTGCATCGACCACTTCAAACCAGATCAGCTCACATCTCCAGTCTGCATGTAAACCAAATTCATTAATCAAACCACACCTCTTCTTCTGCTTGTTAACTTGTCGTTGAGTGTAACCCAACCTTTGGGTTAATCTGCAGGGATAAAACTGAAGCTCTTTGCTTCTTTATGCTTCTCCTTACAGCTGCTGCTGAAGTGCTGCTTTGCTAAAAATCTGAGATAAATAACCGTCCATTTTAATCAAAGAGGAAAACATTAACCAAACTTCTTTCACTGGCCAGACCCACTTCACCTCCAAAGTGAATTTCCATCTCGGCTCTTTTGAGTGACAGTGACTCTGATGGAGAAGGAGCGGGAGGCCACAGAAGTGGAACGGGGAAATGGGTCACCTTCTCCGCTGCTCCTCCACCTCATGAGTAATTTAGGAGAGCTGCTGTACACACTGTGGACTGACAGGCAAACAGAAGTCATATTCTTCCTCAGAGCAGCACGTAGATACCCAAACACACAAATATTGAAACACTGTGACCATACAGAGCATCAATTATTTCGTTTCCCTCAACCGTGGAACAAAAATTATTATTCGGGCTGAGTTACACTTTGACCACATTTGTTTTTGGAGCGAGCCGTCTCTGCCATGCTAATTCACCTGGAGAGCGTTCAACTTTCCAAAGTGGACCTTAGAAACTGTTATAAAATTAATGGACTAAATTAGCCCTGGGTTCCTCCCAAGCACATTTGTTCTGCTGCCGTCAAACATATAACAGGGTGTCTGGGACAGCTTGCATTTTGAAATAGGTGCCAAACACGTTTTAAAGCAAATATCAAAGCCTTCTCTATGGCAACACGGTTAGCCGTCAGCAGCCTAATTAAAATGCTGCGTTTGCTTTGGAGGGAAAGATGCATACATCAAGAAAAAAAAAGAAAGAAATCACTAAGCGCAGTAAGAAATACTGAGGTGCCTGGCAGCTTTGTAATGGTCTCACACTTGTTTGGCTACAAAGTCAATCCCCAATCAGCCAAAGCAAACTCCCCAAGGCCAGCCTCTTTCTTCTTACACCATCTCGGCTCTTGCTTCAGTTGCTGCAGCTGCATAATGACATCAGATTACTCAGAAATGTCTCACAACATGCCGCTGCAGCTGTTGTGTTTCTTCTGTAAAATATGCAGAAGAAACACTGGGACTGTTAGATTCGCTCAAGTATTCACAGCTTTGATGTTATCTCTGTGTACGCATTCAGTTTACACTTTCTATGTTCTGGTTTTGAAGACAGATTTTTGCTTTAAAATCCATTTAGCAAGAAATTTCATGGAAAACTAGTTGTTGACCCTCACACAAGAATATACATCTCCAAGAAGACATCATGTTTGGATTTTTTAGCTGACAAAGTACTGTTGTATTAACTAAACCTTTAATTTAACACGCTGAAACTTTTAAAGGCATTGATAATTTTTTTTCTGCCAGGAACCTTTGTATTCGCATGTTTCTGGTACGCCTGTAAATCTGACGCGCCACCAACATCCACAAACAGCAAAGGATCATAAAGTCGCTTCTCTCTGCCCAGTGGGGGTCAAATCTTTCTTCAAAAAACATCAGATGAAAGTCATCTGCAGGAACTGAAGTGGTTTTAAGAAAGTAACGGTAGCCATTGTTCTAAACTGGAAGTTCTGGTCCAGTTTACTGACAGGCCAAGAAGTTTCTGAAACTATGAGGTCAGTCTTTGGTATTTACCCTTAAAATAGACCATCACCTTCCTCTTGACATCTCAAATTTAAACTAGTACTTTATTCCTTTTAGTGATCTTTTAACTCACCAGCTTGATTCTTTCAGTAAATATTATCCCTGAAATATAAACATCTTCCTTTTTTTTGCTGTTTTTGCTTTTGCTTTACTTCCAATAAAATGAATTTGATCTGATTTCTGGTAACCAGCCCAGAAATCATTAAAGTTTGAACAGATGCTGATCACTGCTACAACAGAAATCCAATGAATTGTTGAAAAAAGAGAACTTAATGGAAAACGTTGACTTGCTAACAACAAAGGAAAGAACACCCATCAGTTATTCATAATTATATATTTATGTTGCATATTTATTATTATTCACTGAATTTATCATAATTATACATAATTACTAAAAGATAAAGTGAAACATATTTAAGTACCAGCATGATTTGATTTGAAAAGAGGAAGAGTTTTATTTTGAAAAGTTATTAACAGGATCTAGTTTTGTCTTTTGTCGCCATCTTGTTTTTTGTTGCTAGGATACCAACAAACATCTGTTTGTTCAATAAAAACAAACAATAAAAACTGAACATAAAAAATGTACAACGGTGTATTGGGACAGAAGTAGAAAGAAAAAAAAAAGTTGAAAAATTGATGGAACAAAACTCAAATGTTGAAGTTAATTTCAGAAATATTTTAGGAAAAACATGGGAAATTTTTAACTCCAAAAGTAAAAAAAAAGTCAGTTTGAAAAGTCTAAAATTTGCACAAAAAAGTATTATTTTGTGATTAAACTAAAAAAAAAAAATTTCTTCATAAAAAATAATTTTCAACCTTTGAAAGTCAAAGATTTTGTACTTTTGAAACTCTGACATTTCCAAGATTTTTCTAGAAAATTTCTGCAATTAATCCCAAAAGTTCTTCTCACAAATTTTCGGCTTTTCCAGGTCAGAACTTTCCAAAACAAAAACTTCAACTTTTGGAGGTCAGAAATTTCCACATTTTTCTAGAAAACTTCTGAATTAATCTCAACATTCCTGAGTTTTTCGGTGGAGATTTGCTCCTCCTTTCTGGCGGCCCTTATTCCACCACTGTGCATGTGAGCCAGAAGATTTCACTAAGTGTTAAAACCCCGAAAAGCAGAGATAAGGAAGACAGCGGGTGTCAGCTTCTGTGCAAAACAGTTTCCACTGTGCACAGTAATGCATATTAAATTATATGTAATGTTTGAACGACTAGTTTTAGAAAATGCCTTAAGTTTTATCAGATTTTAGCTCGGGTACTCGTGGTCCCTGATCCCGTAAACAACAGGAATGAAATGTTTTGGCCCTGGCCGCTTCACGCTGTGAAGGTAACGTTATCAATGTCATGTTCAGGTTTTCAAACTGGGGCTTTAAGGTGCAGCGAAACTCAAATACTCCACAATTATTTCATCACTCTTACAGCTCACTCAGCGGTGAGGCTCTCTTCTCTCTGCTGTTCTTCCTTTTCCTGACAGCAACGGACATTTTGTCTCGACTCAACTTTCTGCGGGTCCAACAAAGGTTAACCTGGTTAAAACAGACACTGAAACATCTAACGATTGCATTGCCTCATGTTTAGTTATTATACAGCATATCTATGTAAATCAGTCACATGGAGACGTCCACCTGATTAAAATGCCAATAAATGAACTGATCAGCTGAGAAAATATGAACTGTAAAAAAATATTTTCTGACAGAGCTTAACTGTATTGTATCAAATTTAACTGTCAAGTTCAAAACATTTAAGAAAAACAATTTCTACAACTTCAACTTGCCTCACCTGTCTTTAGCATTTACTAAAACTTAATGAAGAACATTTTTTAAAAAGTTCCTCAACTTATTTATAAATTATGTTTTTATATTGTTACATCAAGTTGACACAAAATTTTAACAAATTGAAATGAAATTCTAACTAAGTCAACTTTGTAATGTATTTTTTTATTTTGAATTTGTTTTTACAACTTTATACATTTTATTATTTTGTTATAAATTATGTTAGTGAGTCTAACTGATAAACACAAAGGACATTTTTCAATTCCTGTGCAAAATTATAATTTTACAAATTTTCACCAAAAAACACAAATTCAGTTCTAATTTTTGAAAATTCTTGCCTGCAAGTATACATTTATATATTTTTTTAATGAAAAAAATATTTTAGATTTATTTTTAAGTGAAAAAATTAAAAATATTTTTAAATTATTTCAGAAAAATAATCTTAAGCTTTATTTTCTGAAAAAGTTTTTCAGAAAATAACTTTTTCTAAATATTTTCTGAACTAAAATAATTAGAAAAAAAAATAAACTCATAACTGCTGAAAAAATAAACTCTTAAAACTGCAAAAAAAAACCCTGCTAACTAAAATGTTGAGAGTCGCTTTCAAGTATCTTATTAACGTCAGTGTTTCCTTCTGATCAAATGTTTTAGTTGTTGAGTGTCTAATTTGCTTAAATAAGAGTATTTTAATGAATAATACATGTCAAACAAACATTTAATTCACTTAATTAGATGGGATTCAGCCCTGATTTATTATTTCCTTTATGAGAAAGCAAGTCTAAATGCCTAACGTCACAACTTTGCAGCAGGACGATCCTTCTGATGAAATGATTTCCGAGATGCAGAATAAAAGTTGTCCTTTTCATGTCAGTAATAAATGTTGCTGACTATTGGATAGTCATTAAATCTCGATGATATCGGCTCTGAAGTCCCTCTCAGGACCTTCAGCTCCAGCCAAACTCTCACTTTCTTCTGGGTGTCATTATCGGCCATCTTTCCTTCCCTCCTTGATGGCCCCATTTTATCTTAATGGTGCTTGGTGCAATGATACGGAGACGGTGATAGGATTATTAGCCACAATTAAGGACAGGGTGGCTAATGGCTTCCAACGAGGCATTAACTGGAGGAGCGGAGAGAGGAAGGGTGGGGAACATTGGCTCACTTTATTAATTGGATACTTTATATTTTAATGTTGATGTCTGCAGATTTTTCTGTTTAGTTTTTCTTTATCTTGTTTCTTTATTGGTTTCTTGGTTTATGTTCTGCTGACCTTTTGCTTTTGTTCCATTTAAAACACCAAATTGTTTCACTCGGTTTTAATTTGATTTATTGCGTCAGGCTTTCTATTGAACAATATTAGTTTGTCTCTGACGTAATCTCAGGTTTAGTTTGAGATTTTAAGATTTTTCACTTCTTACCCCGGTTTTGTCACCATGGTAACCTGATCTGGAGAAGATTACATATCCAGATTGGAGATTAAAGACGACTCATTATGTTTCCCTGAACAGGTTAGCATAGGTTTATGGCCTATATAAAACATGTTCACAAAATTTTTTGCACAAACTCATTCTTAGATCATGAGACTTTAGCTGTTTTAGGGCCTCTTGACACATTAAATTCAAATAAACTGCTGAAGGCCATCCCTCAGACTCAGTGTTTTCAAAATGGCTGCAAACAGATACGCAATTATACAACTGTACAACTTTGAAAAGAAGAAGTAGAGCCTCCTGCACAGCCAAAAAGAATGCAACAAGTGGTTTCTGGATGGTAAGCCAACAGCCAAACAGTTGTCTTTTCCAGCAGCCATTGTACAGCGCATACAGCAGTGAAACCAGCTGACCAAACATGCTGGAGCTCAGCTAGGGTTGCTAGGCAACGGCTCAGTGTGACTCAACAACCTGGGAGGGTTTTGAAAAGGTTCATTTTCCAGACAGTAAAAGAGTTTGGTCTGTTTTTAAAAGCAGTAGAAACTCCCAAAAAGAATAAAACGTGTAAAATGTAAATTAACACACCTAAACTCACCTGACATTTTTTTTTGTATCTCTTCCACCTTTATGTTAAAAATCTAAAGACGTATGTTCAGAGGCTGATGTGTTTTTTGGTTTCAGTTGTTCTGGAACATGTCAATGTGGAAAACGCATCGAAAACCTTTAACATTCTGTATTTTCTTCCTGGTAATTTCAGAAGGGATTATTTAGACTTCTAAGAGCTACTTAAGTAGCCATAAACAATGCTCATGAACCCCCAGCATTAAGAGGATTAGGTTTCCTTTTTTATTTGCTAATCAGGCAACTCACAACATTTATTTGCCAAGTGACACAAGAAGACGAAGATGCTTTCAGTGAAAACTGAAGTTTCTTGATTCATATCCAGAGGAAATATTTGGAAAGCCACCTTCTCTGCGTTCTCACATTAGAATTAAGGTTCTAGTGTTAAAAACAGACTCTCAGAAGTTTTTAAAGCATTGTTGTGAGACGCACAATGTGCTCTTTGTGCTGCAGGTGCCTTTGATGCCGAGACGGCTGGTGAAACGTTGAAGCCATTGACGGAGGTGACTGACACCTGAGTGTGACGTCTCTGAGGACGAAGCTGAACTGAGACGGCTTCTCAAAGCAGCCGACTGACAGGATAAAGGGGAGATAAAAACACAGACAGTCTGCATACCTGGGCAGCAGGCATTTGCATTTGACATTTCAGGCCTTTCAAAGATGCTCTTCAGAGCTGAAAACTGTTGCATCAAGACGAGAAAGCTGAGAAGGCTGAGTCCTGAGTTTACGTCCAAAAGTACAAAAATAATGTTGGTAATCATTTTTAAGAGTTACTGCAGTTTCCTTTGTCTTCTGGCTGAGATCTACGGAAGACCAATAGGGCCAAAGAAAAAAAGGAATTCTGACCTTCTTTCCTGCAAAATTCTGACCTTCTTTCCTGCAAAATTCTGACTTTAAGCTCCAAAATGTCACTTGTCTTTGCCCAATTCTAACTTTTTCTGTCACAATTCTGTCTTTAATCTTACAAATTTTGTTTAAACATCTAACTCTTTTTCTCGAATTCTGACTTTTTTTCCTCAGATTTCTGACTATTTTTTCTGCAGGATCCTGATTTTAAGCTCAGACGACTGAAGTAAGAATTCTGATTTTAAAAAGTCAGAATTCTTTATTTATCTCGGTGGCCCTAATCTGCTTCCGTAGAGATCAAACCAAGAAACAGTTTGGCCAAAATAAATTTTCTGTCAGGAATTTGTTTTTTATTATTTGGAAGAAGAGGGAAATGTAAAACATCTCCTCTGACAGCAGCAGATGAACTGAGCCAAAGATGGCTGCAGCAGCAGACGCTACCTGCAGATGAAGCGTTTTAAATCCAGTCAGCTGCCAACGGGTCCAACCAGCTTGTCACAGTACGTGAGAGCAGTTAATTAAATCCTTTAAACTTCCTAAAAAAATAAAATTAAGTTATCGCTTACTGACAGGTGGTGGCAACAAGTGAAGCCTTGAATTTCTGACTTTGGCAATGTGAGAGCGGGAGATGATGAAGACGCTCTGAATTCTTTTAATCTCCTTGGAAAGCAGCAAGGAGATGAGAAAAGAAGGACAAGATTATCGAAATGCTCCGTTTTGTCATTTTGGACAGACCCTTCTGGAAGCCAGCTCAAGTTTCTGGTTTACTAAGACTTTTATCAAACAAGCCCACAGTTACTTTAACGCTGAGGATGGTTTCTCCATGTAAACCGTTGATTCCCTCTTGTACCTGTTGTTTTTACTTCAGTCTAGTTGTTTGGCTCTTTGTAATTTCTGCTGAAAAGCTTCACTATCAGCCAACTGAAAGCTCCAGAGCCGTCATTTAACCCAACATGGAGGCTCTGATGCTGAGTTTGTTACGTAATCTTGATCAGATTAAATGATGACTAATTTTTTTATTGTTATTTTTTTAAAGCTCCTTCTGGCATTAGTAATAATTACTAAACTGTGAGATTTTTCATGAGTTTCTCACAATAGTTGCTGTAATTTTGACTTTGAGAAAACCTTTCTTACTAAATCTGGTCAGTTTTTCCCTTTTTATGTCAAATGTAAAGAAGTTTAAGTTTTATCTGATGACAGAATCACCTGAAAGAAGTTCCATAAACTCTGAAGCAGGTTTTCTAATTTGCAGTGATTCATTCACACTTAAACTAATTATGAATGTTTGTAGAATCCAGAGAATATCTGTGATTTTCCATAAAGCAGATTGCTGCAGAGTTATGACTGTATTGGCTTTAAATAAGAGCCATAATCTACACGTCCTGTTTCGGAAATTAAATGACTTCAGAAGATCAAACATTGTAACACCACATGTATTAATGTAATAAAATCTGGCTTTAGAATGTAATAAAACATAATTAAAACTGCATTGCGTAATAATCGACACAGATGGAATAAAATCATGGAGCACATTTTGATTTGTTTAATGCAAAAAAGTCTGAAAAGGAAAATAAATCACTAAAAGTTTGGCAATTATAGACCAAAGTTTTTATTTAAATGCATATCAACAACATGATTGTTATTGATTAGGATGAACATAAACGTTACATTATATTGTCATTATAATTACTAAAAAAGCATAATGTAGTTTTAATGATGTTTTATTACGTTTAGAATTTTGATTTCATTACATTATTATCAGAATAATAACTGGTTTTACTCAAGTACACTTATTTGAGTAACTTTTTTGAAAAAGTTTACTTTTAGGAGTATTCTTACTTATCTTTACTCTTACTTAAGTAAAATTCGTGGATTTTCTACCCACTGAATGAAAAACAAAAATATTTGAACCAAAACTCCTCCAGATTCAGATCTGCAGTTTTGTTAAAGTTTCATCAGTTTTTTACTGAAAGAAACTAATTTGGAAAAATTTTATTTTGCCTGAGTTTATTTTTTGTTACTTATATGAATTATTGTCAGTTTAGTCTTTAAAATACCTAAATTTCCACTTATCTGTACCTTTTGGTCCATCTAATGATGTAATATTTAAATATTAAATGATTTATAATTGGATCAGTTACTTGGATAGACTTTTTACTTTGCTACTCTTACGTGAGTAAAAACATGTTGAAGTTTTTCTTCTCTTACTTGAGTATTTTGGTTCTCTGGTTGTTATATAATTTGCCGTTACAGGCATGAAGAAGTGGAAGCCGTTTATTTCACAGTGAGATTCAGTTTTTTCACCTGGATGTTGACATCACGCTCTCTGCTTGTGAACAAATGTAAAAAACATGGCCACTAATGTTTTGACAATGAAGCTGTTGACTCCACCTTTCCTGCGCGGGTGGAGGCGGAGCGGCGGCGGCGGAGCGGAGACGGAGCGGCCACCTCGCCGCTTCCCTCCGGAGCACACAGTGACTTTTGTTCTCAGAGAGAGGTTAGCCGACAGATTGAACGTCTGTTGAGTTCTCCTTTCTCCTCCTGGCTCTTGGTTCTCTTCCAGACGCGTGTTGGCCAGAGTCTGTGGCAGCAGCCATTAGGATGAGGAATGACTGGGAATTCTGGGCCAACCTTCCGGCTTCGCGCTGAACACATTCTCGACACACGCAGCAGCAGAGGAGATGTTCTGTATAAGCAGATTCTTTATTGGTTTTGTCCTTTACGAACCAGACCATCAACTCCAAACTTTGACAGTTTAGATAAAGTTTGACCCGCGTTGATCCAAACTTCTGTCCGCAGAGCCAGAAGTAGAGATTCACTTCCCACTTCACAGCTGCTTCACCTTTGTGATGAATTATTTCCAGACCACAGTGATTCACCATAAAGCAGACAATGAATCCTCTCTGGCAGCCACGTCTCCGCGCTATAAGCTCAAGCGCTCGTTATGGAAATGAGATGCAACATTGCAAATCAGTCTTCAAATTGCAAATGAGGGGCTTTGAGGAGAATCTTTTCACATCTGTGACTCGGGAGGAAAGTTAACCCAGCTTTAAATGAGGTTAAATCTGCACAAAAACACAGAGATTCAGCGTTCACCGGGTGATACGGGAGTCGCTGATGAGTTGCTGTTATATTCTGACACCGCCATTTTGTTTCAGACCAGTTGGCATAGCATCATGAAACGGATGAAGGATTATTTTATGAGGCAGCGATCCAGCCAAGTTAATAACTGAGAGAATATCTTATGACTTGCCAAAGTGGATGATCTGGCAGCGGGGAAGCATCCGTCACGTCTTCTCACTGCGGAGGCCACAATCTGCAGATGCGTCCGGTGCCACTTCCAGCGGACGTGGAGAAATGTTTTCCCTTTCTAAGTCCGTCTGCGCAGAGTCCCAGCTGAAGGCGGAGGCATGGTTGATGCTAGCACATGGTGCTGTGATCACTGGGACGGAGGATCAGGTGGCCCTGGCTGCAGCTTAGGGGCACCACATGGTTGTAATGGAGCTAAGGAGAGTCCCGGAGGATGTTCGCTCGGTTGGAGTCGCTTTCCGGCTCATGAAGAGACACAACACGTCTCTGCTGCAGCGTTTTGAGTTCACTACCTCAGGTTCTCCAAAGTGAAAGGAATGGTTTCACTTGTGAATTATCAGTCAATCAAACAAGTTTACTTGGACAGAACATTTCAGCAACAAGAAAGTTTAAAGTGCTTTTCGTCACAAAAACACAAAAATCTTAAGACACCAAGCAGTAAACCAGGAACATTACATTTAGTCAAGAGCCATCGCTACACACTACACATGTTGGTCAATTTTCCATTTATTACGTTTCAAAAGCAACTCTGAACAGCCGGGGCTTAGTCTAGATTTAAAGGAACTCAACGTTTCGGCTGTTTGACAGTTTTCTGGAAGTTTGTTTGTTCCAGATTTGTGGTGTACAGGCGTCACAGGACCTACTCCCTGTAGCTCAGAGAGGACCGACTTTTAAATCCTGTTGTTAGTTTATAATCACTGAACGGCGTAAAGATCTGCTGATGTTGTACCAACCTTCCAGACCTCTCAGGTCTTCTGGTTCTGGTTCTGATCTGCATCAGAACCAGACCTGGAGAAGCAGCATTCAGCTTCTATGTACCACAGATCTGGGACAAACTTCCAGAAAACTGCACCTGAAGAAAACCATAAGACGTTTTCCTGATCCCAACAAGTGGAACAGAGCGCTTCATTAGGTCATCTCCATGACGATATACAGCAGCAATAAGCTGCACTGCCATTGATCATATAACTACGCAAATTGTAATTACAAATATAGATTTTCTTAACACTCAGGGGTTTGGACTTGGAAATTTAATTTTTCGATAAGTTTTGGCACTAGGATGAGGTGGTTTTTTCGGCTTCATCAAAATTTACTTTTACTTTTTTCGCGTCAGTGAAATCACATGATCAACAACAGGATCTTACTGCTGTCAGAAACTACGAAGAAGACGACAGGAAGTGGTGGAAGGATGATGGCACTGCTCTTATCTCGCAAACAAACTTATTCTGTGTGATTTCAATTCTCATTTAATTGAAACACTGCAGTTGTAAAACTGAACGGTAATCATCCAAATAAATATCCAAAAAAATGAAAATAATGATCCCTCAGCACTCCTTGGAAACACCAGGCTCCATTTAAACAAAAAACAAACGATGTTCAGGCATAAATAACATTAAAAAACTTAAATGACAGCTCTACATTTTCATCACAAAAGCCTATTCTTATCCAAAATCAGCAGTTTATCATCAACAGCCTTTTCTACAGCATTAACTTAATTAGCTGTTTCTGTTGAGACTTACTAAAACACTTTGTGAACTGCGGCCAAGCTTCCTGAGTGGTAAAATGAAGGGAATATATTAATAAGTGTATTAAAACATCCCAAGTGTCATATTGCTTTGGCTCAGACCCATGTGAGATAATTAAAACAAAGAATCCAATAAGGCTGTTACCGACTGTTTATTAAAAGCTGGAGAAGCAACTGATTTTTATTTGCGATCACAAATTAAACCTCATTAATATCAGAGTGGAAATGAAGAGTAGAGCTCCTTCTGAATATTGAGTTTGCTCTTTAATAATCAGACATGTACTGTATTTAATGTCACTGAGGAATCACCAACATTGAATATGACTGATTTTAATCAAAACATTCACAACTAAACATACATAGAAGACAGTAGAAGCAGAACATAACACTGAACAAAAACTATTCTAAAAGTTCTGCTCTTTATTAGAAGCCCAGAAAGTGAATTTAGCATACAGTCAGGTGTAAACAAATAAAATATTAAACTTTTTTTCAGATGAAAAACAGTTAATGTGTAATGTTATGTTTTATAAATATCTGGAAAACAAACTGATGTAATTCCAGCAAAGCAACAAATGACATCAACTGAAAAGTGTTTTATAGCTGAGGAAAAGTTCGGACATTGAATCACAAGATGATTGAGATATCTTCAGACACCAGACTGACACCAACCTGAGGAAATCGTCTGTCTGTACAACTCATTTCAAATAACCCCACAGCATCATAACTGCTACGTTTCCATCCAATTATCATGCAAAAACTGAGCAAAAATTGCTAATTATGCGTGTTTTCATCAGTTTTTGGAGCAAAGCAACCAGCAACCAGAGCGTCATTTCATCAGATGCTAGCGCTCAGCATGGCTGTAATAAACAGGAAGTAACAGTTGCTAATTAGCATGAACCACACATCTCATGGGTTTGCCTCTGGTAAGGCACAGACCCATCAGTGGATGAGAAAATTCACTGTATTTGAATTTATTCTGCAAATGTGTTTCCACTTTTGTGCATTTTCAGAAAAGCAAAAAAATAAATAAAATAAAAACATCTCTAGTTAGCATAAAAACTGAAGTTATTGTTTCAAATTATGCTTTTTTCCTCAACTTTTTTGCAATGCAATACTTTAAAAAATGCTAATAAAATGTTGATGGAAGCACGGCCACAGACATTGGTTTCAATTTGTTATTT